AAAACACAAAACATTAATATAAATTAAAGTCCTTTATTTTCCATTTTAATTGTGCTAACAGTACATTAAATTCGGTATAAAATAATAATAAAATCTTATTTATAGTTATGTTATGATGTGTTAAGCGGCAGAATATTTTATATTTTTTAAAAGTTAATTTTAAACTTTTAATAAGAATATTGTGGAAATAAAATTATCAAATGATTACTCATTATATTTTTGTATAAATTTTTCTTTTATTATGAAAATTATTTTTAATAAAGAAAAATACTCAATGAAATCCAAGATATTTTATATTGGTTTGGTTTTTTAAATTTTATTGCAAATTTAATTTTTAAATATTTTACATGGGATTAAGTTATGTGCAAAACAGGAATAACTTTGATAACAAAACACAAGACATTAATAAATGCAAAACAAACGTAACATTTATTTATGATTATAAATTAATTGCCATTTCGTAATAAATATGTTTTAATCAATAAATAATTTTTAATATAATTTCCCAATAATTAGTTAAAAGAGCATTTTCTCACCATAATCGGAGTCCTTGTGTTATTGGCCTTCAACCATGTTTAATATTATTCAAACCATACCTAATGAATAACTTATACCAATATTAATCATTATTTTGGATACATTATTAATTTACCATAAATTCTTAACTGTTTTGATGCTCACCAAACGTCTGACTGAAAATTAATTACTTTGAAAATTACAATTTCGTTAATTCATATCTTTGTTGCTATTATTTCCAATCATATGATTATAGGAATCGTTGGTTTCCCTCGATATTTAACATTTGTTACAATATGTGTTTTGTATTGTTTATAATATTTAATAAATATTATTTTCAATTTAACAATTTAAAATATACTGTATTAATGTAAACATTTAAGCCAATTAAGTGTTTATAAATGATTGTATAATAAATTAATTATCTTTATTTAATAAATTTATTTGATTTTTGCCATCAATCTACGCTCTAACGTATTAATTAGTATCCGGGAGTTTGCATTAGTCAAATAAGACTCTTTAGTGTACTATACACTTAAAATAGTATTATTATTTTTTAGTGTAACTTTTAGTAAACTTTAAATTAATTTTTTAATTAAAAATATTTGCAAATTACGTTTAACCACTAGAATTACATTGATCATTGGACATAACTTAGAGAATCGCATAACAAATAAATTCAATCAAATACTTACAATGCATTTAAGTAAACAGATGTTTATTAAAGAATATTATTTACATCTTTCAAGACATTGACTTCAGGAAAAGGACTTTCAATTGATAATCACATGATTAATAAGAATTTGCTCTTTTAAAGATATTTGTTTGATTTAAAATAAAAATCACTTTTTATTTCTAATGTCTCTTATGGCTTAACTTTTAGTGCTTTATTACCAAAATTCGTGGGATTATGGATTAATACAAAGAGATTTCCTATTTCTGGGCACAAAAGTTCATTAAATTTTATATTCTCTTCCTTTTGGTTCAATTGTTTGCAACAAGTGATGGATGTTTTCGATATTAATAACAATACAAACGGTATATAAATTTGATTATTAATAATTAATAATAAAAACTTAATTTACATATTGAATGGTTTCGGACACACAGTAGTGAATGGTTTGGAAGGACGACAGAGTCAGACATCGATATTATTTCAAATGATGCCAACAATGCTAGGAATGGCCGCATCGGGAAAACTGACCCCTTTTATAGTTCCGGCGCTCATAAAGATAGTAATTCTCCCACTTTTACAGATAATCAACACTATATCCAAAGCATTCATTTTTATCGGAATTATTTCGTATTTAATCACATTCTCTATTCCTATAATTCTCACATATTTTGGTACTATTTTTGCAACAAAACAAAATACTTAAAACTTGTTACAAACTATTATTTTCCATTAGGTTTTGTACCGTTTATGGCCAGAGATTTCGATTTAAAAAACATGATTTCATTTAGTAATGTCTTTTCAATTATGAATGAATTTTATTGAAATGAAATAATTGATGGTAAAATTATCACAAAACAAATCAGTTGCCAACAACAGCCTCTTCTTCTTCCTGTTCATCGCTTTCATCGATATCACTGTTTTTGCTTTCTTCCGATTTCTCTGTAAATAAATTTTTAAAAATAAATTAAAACAAATTAAAGACAGAAATAATCAATAAAAACCTGTTTTCGATTTCTTTGACCTCAACTTCTGCTTCCGTTTCTGTCGTTTTGCTCTCTTTTTGGCCGTCTTTTCTTCGGCGAGTCGTTTGTTATCATCGATTCGTTGCTTAAAGTCTTCGTCCAATTTTTCCTGAAAAACAATCAAAGAAAATATGAATTAAATTAAAGGTTGGGAATCAGCGGTTGTGGTCACACAAGTGACAGACCTGTTTGGCCTGAGTGTCAATGTGTCGGAGTCTGGCGTACTCTTTGCGCCGAAGATGTCTATACACGTGGAACTCTCCACTCCCGGCGCCCGCACTCGACCCTATCGTACAGACAATGGCATCGATTAACAGGTGATAATCGATGGTAACATTTGACACAACAAAACAAACCCATTATATTTCGGACAAAATCTGGCGGTTCGGCGAACTTCTTGTCCTCTCTTCTCATCGGGATATCAATGGGTTTGTCCTGAAATTGCAATTCAATTCAATTATGGTATAAATTGACGGATAAATGAGTTGTCAACAAATGATTACCGGGTTTTTCATCAACTTTTCGACCCGTATTTTCTGCACATCTATTGCCGTGAAGTCTCGGGACATCTTCTGGACGATCAGTACTTCAATACTTTTATGCAATCATTAAATGTATAATTAATTCAAATTAAGTAACAATTGATTGACAAAAAAGCTATAGTTTTGGTGAAAATGTCTCAAAAAACTTTCAAAACAATGTTTATTAGTGTTTGCATTAGTGAACCAATTATTGGTGACTATAATGTCGGTGATTGAAACCAGATTAATATAAATCATGGTCATTCATATGGTTTACATGCTTGCTATGATTAAATCATAAAAATAAATGAACCATGGTAATTATGAATAGTATAACCACGATTAAAAACCTATCATTGAATCCCTAATACAACACTAGTATTGCATTCAAATGTAAACACATTTCTCACAACTCTTTGAGTGTTTATTTGAAACGTTTTTTTGAAAATCATTTTTTGGATCAATTTCTGTGCAAAAGATGTCCAAAAGAAAGGTTCAGTTCAGCGAAGAGATAGAGTTTGACCGCAATTCAGATGATAATAACGAAGAGCCGGAAGAGACGGAAGAAGACGTTTCGGACCTGAAATTTGGCAAAAAATTCAAACACACGTTAGATAGCGATGAAGAAGACGATGAACTCATTGAACAGAACTATAATATCTTGGATACGGATCAGATCGACGGTCAGGAGGACACCGCACCCGAAGCCGATGAGGAGGGCATTCAGATGACAGCATTCAATATGAATGAAGAGCTGGAATCGGGACACTTCGACAAAGACGGCAATTATATCTTTGATAAGTCGGAAGAGATTCGCGACAATTGGATGGATAACATTGATTGGCACAAAATCAGACCACCAGCTGATCCACTGTCGACAACGACCACGACGTCTGACGTTAATGACGACGAGTCAGAAGCGGATCCAAAGGCGAGTGTCGACGTGAATGAGGTCTACAAACAGATGATTGAATTAATGGAAGCCAACGAAAGCGTCGAGAAAGCGATCCAAAGGCTGGGAAAGAGTTGTCCGAAACAGAAACCAAGCGATCGGTGGAAGAAAAACACAATTCAATTGTCGGACAAACAAATGGAGGCGAAGACAAAGCTAATGAAATTGTCTTCTTTGGCCGATTCGGTTCTCCAGACCGGAGATATGGATATCTATCAGAAAACTTATGAACATTTGGTGTTTACGTTGACTAAAGTGTCGGCAAAGAGTGTCGAATCGGATATGTTTTCCGATGATTTTGACGCCAAGAAAGTGGAGCCAAAAGCCGATGAAACGAATGAATCAAATAATGAGATCAAATGGGAGTTCAAGTGGGAGGACAAGGAATCGGCGCAAGTGTTCGGTCCCCACAGCAGTGACCAAATGCTCAAATGGGTTAATGACGGCTACTTCGAGAGTGGCGTCTATTGTCGACAATTAGGGAAAACCGATTCACAGTTTTATAGCTCCAAACGAATTGACTTTGATTTATACACTTAAATGCCTTTCACTTCATTTATCAACTGATTTGCCATTCGTTTCACATTTAAAATTCTCGTTTCATTCTTTTCCACTTATCTTTCATATAACTTATGTTTAATTGTTTTAAATTAAATAATATGCAAATTATGTTAATAACAATAAATTCATATGAGTTTAATATTGAATTGAATCCATTAATGATCTTTTAATATAATAAATGGTTGCGATAAGTATAGTATAGGAGACCATTGCTAATGGACTCGATTGTCGACTTGATATTAAATGTCAGATCATGTCAAGAGAACAGTTGAACGACAATACAAGTGATAATCAAATCTATAGTTTTAATCGATAATTACATTCGTTAAGAATAATGGAAATACAAATGCATTCAATATTTAGTTAAAATCGCAATCAATAGCAACGAAAACTTGTATTTTATGTCATAATTTAGAAAAACTAAACAATTTATTAATAAATTGAAAAAAATTGGTTCTAAGAAAAAGAAAAGTCAATTAAAATTATGGTAACTTTTAGTGAAAATTGTGGAAAAGAGTCGATTGGTTTGAAATATACAATAAAAGTGTTGTTTAGTTGAGATATTGTTAGCCAATTGCCTCTAAAACTGAAAGCCAGAGTCAGGTATCTTAGAGTCGGGATCGAACTCGAAGGTGCCGTCCGTGCCTTTCGGCGCGACGATCGGGTCCTCCTCGTTGTCATCGGAGAAGAACTGGTCGATTATCTCATACGCCAACTTATAGATGTCTTCGTTCTCGTGGTGTTGCAGCGGTTCTATTCGGTCCAAACCGCCGCACTTCTCGATTTCGGTGGCGATGGCCGAGTACTGCGAGCCCGACATCTTCAGCACATTCATGAGGGCGTCCAACACTACCTGAACGACCTGCACGTCTTTGACGGTGAGCAGCGCACAGAGGGGTTCGATCACTCCCTGGTCCACGAGGAACGCGATCTGCTGTTTGTTGCCAGAGATGGTCATATTAGAGACGGCCCACGCGGCCTCCCTCTGCGTCAAGAACTCGCTCTTCGATAAGTGATGAACAATGAGGGGAATGAGTCCGGCGTCGATCACCGCCTGGACCTGCTGTTGGTTGCCGGCCGTGATGTTGGACAGGAACCAAACGGCCTCTTTGTTGATCTTCTCTTTCGGATGAGATAATAGGGTCGGGAAGTGAGACAAAGCGTTGCAATTGAGGACCACTTGTGTCTGTTCGTCAGTTCCGGTCACTATATTGCCGACAGCTCTCAGGGCAGCCGTTTGTACCTTCACTTCTCGATGACTCAATAGGGGAACTAAATTAGCGACAATCGCGCTGTCGATCACTAACTGGATCTGATCGTTGCCGCCGTCGGTCAGGTACGAGACGGCCCACACGGTGTCCACCAGAATGGCCACATCCGTGTGGTTTATGAGATACGCCAACGCAGGCATCAGGCGCTGAATGGTGTCGACGGGCGGCGGCGGGTCTTTGTTGCGGCAGAGGTTGACGATAACCCACGTCACGTTCCGCAAGAATGATAACGACATGTCCGGCTTAATCAGCTCCAGAAGCGGCTCAACCACTCCCAACTGAATCACGTAATCTCTGAGTTGCGGTCCGTCGCCGATGATGTTGCCCAACGCCCAGACGGCCTGTTCGCACACGTTCTCGTTGGGCGACTGCAACAGCTCCAGGAAGATGGGAACGGCTCCGGCCTCCACCACCGCCCGCGTCTGCTGAGCGGTTCCCGACGCGATGTTAGTCAGAGCCCACGCGCTCTCGAACTGAAGCCCTGCGGACGTGTGCTGTTGAAGACATTTTACGAGAATCGGAAGAATACCCGAACGAATGAGTTCGTCGATCGGCGGGTTTTTATCACTTGAGAGCAGTTTGCGGGCGGCCTTCACGGCATTCAACTGTTCCTCGACGTTATCACTGGCGGCCGAAATCACTATTGACTGCAGACTAATGAAGTCATTGGTTGTGTCCGCCTCTGAATAGGCCTCACAATCGATGGGAACGTTTCGGCGCTTCAGTAAAGTCTCGTCTCTTTTGTTTTTTCTCAACTCAACACTCATTTCATTACGTCTTCGGCGCATCTCATCCGCGTCTTTGCCCTTATTCTTGAAATTAGTTGAACGCAACCTATTGTTTGAATCCATCGCTGGTCACCCGGCGGTCCTCCGCAACACTCACTCAACAGAGAAGATAATGTCAATCAAACGGTGACCACTATTTTCGCACCACTTTTCGCGCGATTTCTAAAACTATAGTAAAATGAGAAACAAATTTCAAATGACATTCAAATCCAATCGTTAATCAAAAAAACTCTTGTATTTTACCCAAAATTTTGTCCCAAAAAAAACTTGAAAACAAAAAACAGCGAAAATAAATGACAAAAACAAAACCAAATCAATAATTAATTGCTAAACGATTTGTTATCGTATTGTTTGGCGTGAATTAAATGACAAACACTTTACGTATTGAATGACAAACATATATAACATATAATTAACTTAAAAAAAACTAATTACAAAAAATTACAAATAATAGTATTGTTATAATAAATGTGTGAATCAATTGGTAAATAATGAATGGATTAGTGGTTAATGTATTGCAAACATAGGGTTAAAGCGTTGTGTTT